ATCAGATTTTGAGTCAACAAAACATTGAAAAAATGCATTCAATTTCATGCAAACAATGGCTACACGTATGACGTCATCCCTAACACACACTCCCCTCTCGTGAACTACACTTACACTATATTTACTCTATTTATACAGTAATACCTCTCTATTGGGACAGTGAGGGAGTAAAGGGAGTAAAGGGGAGGGGAAGAGAGACAACTGATCAAATAGTTGATTCAATAATTTAATTGTGAATCATATAATTTAAGTGATCATAAAACTAATCACATATTATCATAAGTTAATAAAAGTTAAGTATTATAGTTTAAAATTAATATATTGTACGGTAATAGAGATTAAATTGAATATCTATTTACTGATAGGATTTATGACATTTAATTGATTGGCAATTCAATAGGAATTGAAAGTAAGTGAAGTCAGATTGAAATTAAAGTGAATAGAGTATCGATTCACCTAAAAGGCTAGCGTAAAGGTTTCATTGTCTTTCAATCTCAACCTTATTGTCACATTCGGTGTGTTTATTATATTGTATTAGATATGAAAATAGTGAGAAAAACAGACAATACTTTTATACTATTGAGAATTATTTATTTTGTTTAAGTTACGTTTCAAATTTAAATAATCTCTCATTTCAGTTTCTTTAGTTTACCAACAGTTTTATGTTTGTTTGGTAAGTAAACTTTTAATATTAACCTTAAGAGATTAAAACTAATCGATAATAATAGCAATACTAATAATAATATTACAATTCAATTGAAATAATAAACACAAAAATAAAGACAAAAAGCAAAATCGATTTGACGTAGAATTATGTGTCGACTAAATGGCGTCGATATCGATGTCTTCGGCGGCGGACTTGTCCTTCGAGTTGTTGTTCACGTGATTGGCTTTGGGCTGATCTTCGATTTGTATGATTTTGTCGGGACGTATGCGCTCGTCATAAACCACTTCCAGCTCATCCTCACTGCCCTCTGACTCTTCCTCTTCGGCCTCTTTAAGCCATTTGATGAATGGCTGCGCCTTATCGTAGATCTCCTGAGCGATCTCTTTGCCCACACTTTTCTTCTGAACCTAAAACCATAGAAAACACAATGAATAACACATTCAAACACTTGGTGTCTGTAAGTAATGATAGCCTACTTTGGAGCCCCACTCAAGAATGGTCTTCTCATCCAAAATATCCAAATCGTATAACTGTTTGAGAATATGTGGTACTCGAGGGACCAGTTGTTCTTTAAACTCCTTAACAGTTAACTCAATGCCTCTCAACAAATACTTTTGAGCTCTACTGTTGTCTGCAGTGAACTGAATTACAAATCAAATTCATTGCCATTAATAATAAGTGAAAGTAATAATGCAATCAATGGATACTTACGCGCAAAAAGAGCAACTGTTGTCTCTTAATTTGCGGCAAAACCTTCGACGGGTCATCGAAGAGCAGTTCACACAATACGATAATAGCCTTATCCCGAATCTCAAGCCGATCCGCTTCGCCAACGATCTCCTTCTGGAGCGACGCACTGATTGGTTCATTGAAACCGTTATCCTTTTTCTAAAACCATAAACAATTGGTCAAAATATTCAAACAAATTCATGGCATAACCAATACCTGAACGAAATCAAAGAATATCTTCAAACGCTCTTCGAATGGCTTCTCCAAGTCGTCGTTATGCATAAGTCCTTTGGCGCTGACACTCAACTCCTCCATACGTCGGGCCACAGCGTCCGCATCGGTGTCTTCACACCAGTCCTCGTCGTCATCGCCATTGAGTCCATCATTGAATTCGTCCGATTCGTGTTGAGGACTATTGCGGTCATTGGAGTCGCCGTTCTTCTTACCGCCGTCTTTAGTCTTGCGTTTGCTTTTCTTGCCCGACTGGACCGACGCTCCCGACACCACCACTTGATTGGGCGGGTATTTCAAGATATAAGTGGCCAACTTGTCGGCGATGGAGAGCATACAGCTATGACCACAGGCTTTGCATTGGGAGTTAATGGTGCCCTTCTTGTGGCTCACATTCAACACCGTCTCCGGATTGTCACACGACGAGCACAACACGTATTTCTGAATGAAACCGTCCAATAAATCCTGAAGTTTGGCCGACTCGTGGGCGCCGTTCACTATATAGCGCTCATTCTTGGCATCACAATTCACTTGTGCACCCAATACGCAGCCGAAGTATTTGGTCGGATCTAATCAACAAATCGTATCAAAATAAGGGTACAAAAGAGTCGAGTACTAGACTTACACATCGGCGGCCGATTCAGAGCTTTCGCCACATCAACCATATTGACGATCACTGTCTTAATGCCATTGCCTTTGCCCTCGACTTTGGCAATAATTTTGGGCATTTTGTAGCGATAGAACTGATCGGTAAGATTGCGGTTAACGTTGACGGACCCCATGTCTGCCACAAATAAGGACTACAACTAACTCTAAATAACAATAATATGATAACTAATAATGTGTTGATTTTGACTGAAATTGAATGCAATTTGAAATGTTTTGGGGTTTTATGTATAGTAGTGTTGCAATGACTGCCGACTCTTCGGACCGAACGACAGACGACCCCAACATATAATTGGTATGAATTGTGGGAACAGATCAAAGTCACGACCGAAAGGGCTGTAATTTTCTTTGACTACCGGCGCAAACACTACCGGATAAATACCTGACGGCGTAAACCAGAGTTCAAATTAGTCAACAATTTAGACATGAATGCAATGTCGATATAAATACCGCGAATGTGAGAGATTTGGCGGATGTGGTGATCGATGACAAGGCATAAACAGTGAAGATATTAATGATATCCGTTTGGATTGAATACAATCTGTTGTGTCTATACAATAGATCTCTGACTCAGGATTGTGGCGAACCGGAAATTCTGCAAATATGGGATCAGTTAACAACACATCCACTTTAACATTACGAATAGTTTGCGTGTGTGTAAGTATAGTGTGTGTGAATACAGTATCGTTAGTTATCGAGTAGTTTACACCGATATTCACGTAACAGAGTGATAAAGTAGTCTGTTAAGTGAAAATTTCGCTAACTATAGGCCAATATTTGGCCAATAATTTGGGCATTCATTTCATTTTTGTAATATAATCGCTAAAACATAAGGACTGCTCAGAGCATCAAAAACTAAATTACATATTAATTATGTAATCATATATTAATTAATTAATTAAAGGCTTTGATAAAACCCATAAGACTATGTGTTAATTAAATTAAACTAATGGCCGATTATAACACAATTGATGACAATTATAGCGCAAATCAAACGCAAAAATACACTCAATTTGAAGCCATATTTCAATTGAATCATAAAAAGCCATTAATTGTAACAAAAAAGTGTCCCTTATTTTCATTCATACATACGTTTTGTATTGAGTGTTAAATTGAAATCAAAACTGAGATTCAAATGAAGGAATGAATGCAATAATAATAGTAATCATAATAACAGTAATAATGATAACAATAATTAATTTAAATAATATAACTTAATTACTTACTTACTTTCGTAACAAATGGCTTTTCTGAATTACTTCTGCAGTATATTTAATTAACAAACTGAGGAGATAACATAGCAATTTACATACCTAAACAGCAGTTTCGCTCCCTAGTCTTAATGGCCGACGAGTTCTCCGAGGGATGAGTTCTTCGGCCAACAGTTATGGTAACCAATCTATAGATGATTATTAGGTATAACACCAGTAATGAGACCAACGATTACTGACTGTTCAGTGAAAGCAATGACTGCACAGACAATGCATTGAATGGTTGTATGCATACAACAAACGCACACCAAATGTACTGCACTTCTAATGCACACCAATTGCCATACGTTTGGCCATAGAATGCCATTTGTTCAGTGAAAGCAATGACTGCACAGACAATGCATTGAATGGTTGTATGCATACAACAAACGCACACCAAATGTACTGCACTTCTAATGCACACCAATTGCCATACGTTTGGCCATAGAATGCCATCCAATACACCATTCAATACAAGCCATTCCCAAACACAGCCAATCGCAGCGCACAAACACTATAACACAATCACAAACACTGTTACCTACAAATGTGGGCAATGTATTAGTGTTTGTCAATACGCTATCATATAATACTTGTATATTAAAAAGGGGGCTATTATTGAGTGGAATAGAGTATGTATTTTGCGTAACTGTAAGTGTTTTGACGTACAGTAGTTGTATAGACCCCTCCCATCACTTACGGCACTGAAGTTTGTTATACTCCGTTCTCACGGCCTTGCTTCGAGTAAGCTCCCTTGCTTAAGCATCGTGAGAACAGCCAAGCAAGCTAACTTATCGGAGCAAGCGAGGGACCCTTCTTAAGCAAGTATACTTACCTGAGCCCTAGTGAGAACGCAAAGGTTACTTGACTTGAACCAATCAGCGCACAGACCATAAACGTGTAGTTTTGTTTATACATTCATTACACTTTATTTAATTCCAATTATAATTTTCAAATGAATGGTTTGTTTGTATTTTGACAACCATTTGATTTCTTTGACTTTACTCTCTAATAAATTTAAACTTTGCATTGAATTTGTTTTATTTATTAAGAGTTATCATCAAAAGTATTGTCTGTTTTTCTCACTATTTTGATATCTAATACAATATAATAAACACATCGAATGTGACCATAAGGTTGAGATTGAAAGACAATGAAACCTTTACGCTAGCCTTTTAGGTGAATCGATACTCTATTCACTTCAATTTCAATCTTACTTCACTTGCTTTCAATTCCTATTGAATTGTCAATCAATTAAATGTCATAAAACCTATCAGTAAATAGATATTGACTTTAATCTCTATTACCGTACAATATATTAATTTTAAACTATAATACTTTTATTAACTTATGATAACATGTGATTAGTTTTATGATCACTTAAATTATATGATTCAAAATTAAATATGTTATTGAATCAACTATTTAATCAGTCGTCTCCTTTCCCCTCCCCTTTACTCCCTTTACTCCCTTTACTCCCTCACTGTCCCAATAGAGAGGTATTACTGTATATATAAATCGAGTAAATATAGTGTAAGTGTAGTTCACGAGAGGGGAGTGTGTGTTAGGGATGACGTCATACGTGTAGCCATTGTTTGCATGAAATTGAATGCATTTTTTCAATGTTTTGTTGACTCAAAATCTGATGACAACTGTATTTAGCATTAAATAGCAATCAATTTGATTGGATTTGTGCCCAAAACTGGCCGTACATTCAATCGGTTGTATTGATTGTCAATTCAAACACTTTTATACCATATTTTCGTATATTATTTACTATTTATAGATATAAACAATTCAATTGTCATTCAATTCAATACCGTTTGCGACAAAAATCAATAGTTTTTTAATAATATTTCATAATATTTATAACGTTTTGTAATGAAATGAAAAAATCATAATTATTTTAATGACAACAAAGTTTTGGTTTATTTAATCATTTGTTAGTAATTATTAAGTGATCGACAACTCATTGGTTATACCATTTTGGGTGAGTTTTTGCCATTTATTTCCGTTGCAATCAATTGTAACAGTAATTAGCGATTGATTTGAATTCATTTCATGTGATAAACAATTGTTAACAATAATAGCAATTAAATAATGATTTAATTAGACATCAATTGAAACGATAATTATATGAAATAAAGGCCAAAATGCAAAACTTTTTGCTAATGATTTGCCACTTATTATACACTTGAAGTGAATTGTATTGCCTTTTATATGAAGATTAGACCAATTGATAGTTGATATGACATCGGATCAGATGAATGGAGATAAGGGTGCGGTCGACACCTCCAGAACTCAACGCAATGTCATTTAATTGTCATTTTGTTTATCAATACTTACTTTTATTTGTCGATTGAATCAATTGTTTGTTACATAAAATGTCCACAAATTCTAGCGTTTTGTCTAAAAGTTCACAATTAGTGGTGAAGTGTATTGAAGGCAAACAATGCCAGCAATTAATGAATCAATTGTTTACTCATTTGAGTCCCAATTGTATTGAAAATGAATATTTAGCTCAAAATGAAGGCAACCATTCATTTAATGAGGATTTCAGGTATTAATTGTAGATTTGATTATAAAGTTTGAAAAATAGTCATAATTTTTAATCAATTGATTTTTTATCACAACAACTGATATGTTTTGATTTGAAATGAAGTATATTTGTATAACAAGTGGTTATGAATGAAATGATAGGCAATTAGTGTTGGGATATGTGTTGTGTATGTGATATGCGGGACACGACTAGTGTCGCCAAAGCCGGAGTTCATTGATCTTTACGACCAAAAAACAATTAGCGATTGAGAGAAGAATTGCGTTATCTTTGAATCCAAACCAAGAGTTGTGTTAATGAGTGCATAGGAGTTGACGTATGGATTGTTTAGTGACCCGTAAAACAGTCGCAACAGTTAACGATTGTCTTCATTTCAATTCACTATACATTTACCAAACCTTTCAATACATATATCAATCAATTTCTATATTTGTCTTTTATGAGTGATTTTGATCTTTTCCCGAAACCAATGTATTTTGATTTCAAGTGATTGGGAATAATATTACAAACGGACAAAACCACTAAATTTCTAGAGAGACTCCAGTATTTGTATTTGTTATGTATTTCCTATTTTGTTAAAACATTTTTATGCATCAGTTAATTGGGTTTTGTTTGTTTGCTGTGAACGACAAATGTGTTAAATTATTTTTATAAGCCATTTATCAGGCAATATGAGAGACAGTCGTGTTTTAAGCCAATTATGAAAATAGTGGTTATTTGTCTGGATGTGTGAATGTTGTCATTCATTAACAATTGGTTACGTTTTAACAGAAATAAAGCAAAACTAGCGGACAGTATGACTGCCATGACTCAGGACGAGATCATAACAAACACCAAAACTGTGATCCAAGGCTTGGAAGCGCTGAAGAATGAGAACCACACAATTCTGGCCGGTCTTATGGCCTCACTTGATGTGGTCCGGGAGACGTCTAAAGGGGACGCCAACACCAAACTCATGGAAGATAAGGCCGGCATTATTCAGAAGAGCATTGAATCCATTGAACTCGGTCTCGGAGAGGCACAGGTGCGCTAACACATCCAATGGAACAACACATGCAGTATATGTACTAATGGTGTGATTTAACAGGTGATGACAGCACTGGCCGGACATTTGCAGACAATCGAAGCCGAGAAACAGAAACTGAGAGCACAAGTGAGACGTCTGTGTCAAGAGAATGCGTGGCTTCGGGACGAGTTAGCGAACACTCAACAGAAACTTCAGGCCTCCGAACAAATGGTGGCCCAATTAGAGGAGGAGAAGAAACACCTGGAATTCATGAATTCACTCAAAAAATATGACGGACAGGACTCCACGGTATGCTTGCATTGCAACCCTTTTTTGCATTTCTTTTACAAAAACTTAATTAAATGTCAAATAAATGTGCGATTGTTTCCAAACAAGTGATGTCTGAACCATATATTTACCACTTGATTGCATGCTTTCACTCGAGTCTCTTTTTGCAGTCACGTGTCAGACCAGGAACTGGTAGTAGAACTGCGACAAACTTTAGGGGAACGCATGAGGTCTTTCACTCTATCACGCAATATGTTTTTATAACATATTTGTCTCATTAATGTGTCGCTAAATATTCAACTTATATTTGAAATGTATTTTCAGGTCTCTGAGGAGTCGTTCAGCGAAAAGAGCAAATCCGAAACCGAACCGCCCCTTGACTTGGGTTTTCCCGACGACGACGACGATGTGGTTCATCCCGAAGGCATCCCTACACCTCCCGGACAGATGGCCGCCGCGGCTAATGCTGGCTACGAAATACCCGCACGTCTGCGGACTTTACATAATTTAGTCATACAATACGCCTCTCAGGGCAGGTATGAAGTGGCGGTTCCTCTCTGTAAGCAAGCGCTGGAAGACTTGGAGAAGACGAGTGGTCACGACCACCCAGACGTGGCCACTATGTTGAACATATTGGCGCTCGTATACAGAGATCAGTATAAATACAGAGAAGCGGCAAACCTTCTGAACGACGCGCTCACTATTCGAGAGAAGACATTAGGGGAAAACCATCCGGCAGTGGCCGCCACTCTCAACAATTTAGCCGTACTCTATGGAAAGCGCGGCCGATATAAAGAGGCGGAACCGCTTTGCAAGCGAGCACTCGAGATAAGAGAACGTGTTTTAGGCAAATCTCATCCCGACGTTGCGAAACAACTGAACAATTTGGCGCTTTTGTGCCAAAATCAGGGCAAATACGATGAGGTGGAGAAGTATTACTTGAGGGCTCTCGAGATCTACGAGAAAGTGTTGGGAGCGGACGACCCGAATGTGGCCAAAACGAAGAACAACTTGGCCTCAGCTTATCTCAAACAAGGCAAGTATAAGGAGGCGGAACTCCTATACAAACAAGTGCTGACCAGAGCTCACGAGCGAGAGTTCGGTAGTATTGACGCCCAAAATAAGCCCATTTGGCAATTGGCTGAGGAAAGGGAGGAAATCAAGAGCAAGAATGGAGTGCCCAATAATGCTGAATATGGCGGTTGGCATAAGGCTGTAGATAAATGGTTGGTTGCGAGCGATGTCTGTCTATTCTAATGTCTAAATGAATGTTGTGTTATATGTTTAGTCCGACAGTCGCCACAACATTGAAAAATTTGGGCGCTTTGTATAGAAGGCAGGGAAAGAATGACGCGGCGGAAGTGCTCGAAGAGACAGCACTTAGAGCTCGCAAAGAGGTATTTATTAGCCAATTGCTTGAATGGCATGAAAACGACCCAATGTTGTCATTTATAGCATTCAGTGATCAAACAATAGCTTTATAAACGATAAGAGATTTCTAATCTGAGTTAGCATTAGAGCATTTGAAACCTTAACTCTGATACTAATCTCCCGGTGACGGGTTGGGTATGTTTGTAGGCATTCGATGCGGCTGTACGTCAAGGCAAGTCTCCTCATTATTTAACCACTGATTTTATAGCTGCACAACAGCCCAGAGATAAAAGACGATCCTTTTCTAAGGACAGCAGTAGACGTGGGTCTCGAGAATCTTTAGAGAGTATGGGAGACAGCATTGCACTCAACGACGACGTAAGTATCACTCACTTCACTACTATTTAACATACAATCCTATGATTACTATTCAAAATGTGCACACATTGGGCAGACATTAAGACATTAATTGAGAAAAGGCTGTCATTATATGGTCTCATTTAACAATGATTTGCATGACTTGTATGGCAATCATCACACATCCGACTCTAACTAACTATAAGTGATTCAATTCTTTACTGATTCTTTAAATTTC